AGACCTCATCTCTACAATAAATAAAAAAATCAGCCGGGCATGGTAGCGCGTGCCTGTAATTCCGGCTACTCGGAAGGCTGAGGCGGAAGGATCGCCAGAGCCCAGCAGGTCGTGGCTGCGGTGGCCGGGAGCGGACAATGCACTCCAGTCTGGGCGACAGAGTGAGACTCCAACTCAAAAACAAAAAAACAAAACAAAACAAAACAAATTGTAGGGAAGTGGTTTTGTTTTTTTTTCCCCTCAAATTACTGGTATTTCTGAGGTTAAGCTAAAATGCATATACAGTATTGACCACAAGCTTCCATACACAATATACTTTTTTGCCTTCTGCTTCCTGTGGCACTAATTAATACATCTCTTGCACTACATCTAATGATTATGAAGATGGTAACAATACCCAGATGGTCGTAAAACTGCATTTAGTTTTTTAATTGCTCTGTTCAGCCTTTGTAATGATATAACACAATATGCTGGAAAATGATCTCTCTTCCATTATGTATAAGGTCAACTGAGATAATGGACGTCCAAAGGGTTTGTGAAGAGGATGCTGATCTCGTCATCTCTGGGGAGTATTTGTGACAGATACAACAACTCAAGCATTGCTTGAATCCAGACCCAGGCTGGTTGGAGTAGCCTCCCTGAAGTCCCACACTGGCCTAGTTCTTGCCCACTACAGAATATGTCCCTTTTTCAGGATATTGCCTCATACCTACTTTTATCCTCCATCCCAATAAAATATCCAGACATTCTGTCAGTCGTATTGTCTTGTGACACTGAGCAGTCTACTGGAATTTGCTGGTGTTAGTAATGAAATGGGATTGCAGAATCACTCGAAGCACCTTTTGGGGTTGAATTGTGCTCCCCCGCCCAAGAAAATACAGTGAAGTTCTATTCCCCCAGTACCTACGAATGTCATCTTATCTGGGAATATGGTGTGTGTAGACGTAATCAAGTTAAGATGAGGTCATATTGGATTAGGACTCACCCCAGTTAATACGACCGTATAAAATGAGAAAACAGGCCGGGTTCGGTGGCTCAACCTGTAATCCTAGCACTTTGGGAGACCAAGGCGAGTGGATTGCCTGAGCCCGCGGGTTCGAGACCAGCCCAGGCAACTTGGCGAGACCACATTGCTACAATAAATCAAAAATTAGCGGGGCTTGGTAGCACGCACCTGTAGTTCCGGCTACTTGGAAGGCTGAGGCGGAAGGATCGCCGGAGCCCAGCAGGTCGAGGCTGCGGTGGGCGAGAGCATGCCATTGCACTCCAGTCTGAGCGACAGAGTGAGACTCCAACTCAAAAAAAGAAAGAGAGAAAACAGAGACAACACAGACACCTGGAGAGAACACCACATGACAACAGAGGCTAAAATTGAAGAGATATATCTACAACCCAAGGATTGCCAGTGACACCTGAAGCTACAAGAAAGGGCATAGAACAAGTTGTTCTAGAGCTTTCAGAGAGAGGATGGCCCTGTCGACACCTTAACTTCAAACGTCTAGTCTCCAAAGCTATGAGAGAATAAATTTCTGTTGCTTTAACCAACCCATCAGTGGTCTTTGTTATGGCAGTCCTAGCAAACACACCTGTGCTCACAGCAATGGTATTTTTCATTATTTTGATTTTACCATCAAATTCTTTCTTTGTCTGCAAGTAGAGAAATACTCTTCTCTTAGTATCTTAATTCTGTATATATTTTAACTCCCATTCCCTCCAGCTGTCCCCTAGCCCTGCTGTCCTCCTTCCCAACCCAGTTCTTGCATCGGTCACATGGAATCTGTCCCTCCAGAAAACTTCTCTGAACCCTGCACTCATGTGCTGCCCTCTGCACTGAGCTTTTCTTTTCCAAATTATTGTCAATGTTTCATTTCCCAGCCCCAGCCAAACCTCTTCTCCTGTCACATTGTCTCCTTTACTTTTAGCTACAATCAAAATTCAGCTTCCCCACTACCACTTTCTATGGGCTCCCAGAGGTCTTTGAAGGCTTCCTTCTGGTTTCATGTGGCTGTGTTTGAACTGTTTCTTATTTTATTTTTTTAATTTTATATTCAAGGAGAGCATGTGCAGGTTTGTTACAGGGTACATTGTGTGATGGTGAGGTTTGAGTCTGTAACCCATGTGGTGAGCTGGTACCCAATGGGTGATTTTTTTTGGCCATTCCCCCTACTACACAGCCATTAAAAAGTGCACTTAAACTACTAAGGAACAGAGGTGCAAGTGCTTTCTAAGCACTCCTCCCAGCCTTCAGACATTTGTTTCTGGAACTTTTTGTGTATTCAACTCTATGCAGTGTACTAGGGACCCTGGACCTAGTCAACCCCTCTCTCACAAGTTTACAGCCTGCATTGGCAGGGAAATTCCTCAGGGCAAGGCCAGGATTTTTTTTTTAAAGAAAAAGTCAGCCAGGCTCGGTGGCTCAGCCTGTAATCCCGGGCCTTTGGGAGGCTGAGGTGAGTGGACTGCCTGAGCCCATGGGTTCGAGACCCGCCTGGGCAACTTGTCGAGACCTCATCTCTACAATAAAATCAAAAAGTTAGCCAGGCGTGGTAGCGCGCGCCTGTAATTCTGGCTACTCGGAAGGCTGAGGCGGAAGGATAGCCGGAGCCCGGCAGGTCGAGGCTGCGCTGGCCGGAAGCCGCCACTGCACTCCGGTCTGGGCGACAGAGTGAGACTCCAACTCAAAAAAAGAAAAAAGAAAAGAAAAAGAAAAAGTCCACTTTATCTCTAGGCATCATTCCTCATCTCTCTGTAACCTCTAAGCACATTTCCCAGCTGGACGAGGTGTCCCTTTTCTGCCCACAAACCTGAAGATAGACTCAAAAACTTGAAATCCAGTGAAGAAAGTCCTAGGACCATCCCGTGGAGAGTAAAAAGAAACATTAATCCAGGAAGAAAGGAAAATGTAAAAGTACAAATGGGGAAGACTCTGAATTAGAGAACTGTTTTTCAACCATCTGATTGTGACCCAAAGTAAGATATATATGTTATATCACAACCAAGCACACAGATAAAAGTATTCATAAAACAATACTTACCTTTATTATGTGCAAGGTACTCTGATATTTTCTACTCGAATCTTTTATTCTGTTCTATTCTGTTCCAGTTCATATTTTTTTCATTAAAAAAAAGCAATTAGTCACAACCCACTGGATTGATTTCATGACTCAATAAATAGGTCAAGACCAGCAGTTTGAAAGATAAGAGATTATAGGCATCTGAATTGCTGACCCAATCTGATCTACACTTTGTTTACAGATTGACCAGTGAACCCTCACCAATGAAGTGTCCAGTGAGTGGTGAAGATAACTGGTTGTCCCGCCATAAGCATATTCTCCTTCTTCCTGGCAGCTCAGCTAGAGATCACATTACCCAGCTTCCCTTGCAGTGAAATGGGACTATGTGACTAAGTTTCACCAATAAAAAGTGAGCAGAAATGATTGTGTGACTCTGTACTACTTGGTTAAAAGAAAATCCTGTCCGGGCTCGGTGACTCAGCCTGTAATCTTAGCACTTTGGGAGGCCGAGGCGAATGGATTGGATTGCCTGAGCCTGCGGGTTCGAGACCCACCTGGGCAACTTGGTGAGACCTCGTCTCTACAATTAATCAAAAATCAGCCGGGCGTGGTAGCACGTGCCCGTAGTTCCAGCTACTTGGAAGGTTGAGGCGGAAGGATCGCCGGACCCCAGCAGGTAGAGGCTGTGGTGGCCGGGAGCGTGCCACTGCACTCTGGTCTGGGTGACAGAGTGAGACTCCAACTCAAAAAAAAAAGAAAGAAAGAAAAAGAAAATCCCTCGCTGTGGACTCCTATGCTTTCTCCTTCCAGTTTAGAACCTGGTGTGACAACGACATGACTTTGACCATGTAAAGGAGAATAATGGCCTACAGCAGAAGTCAGCAAACTACTGTCCATGAAATAGATGCAGCCCACCACCTGCTTGGGTAAATAAAGTTTTATTTACCAAATACATTTTTTAAAAATATCATCTATGGCTATTTTTGTGCTGCAATGATAGGTTTGAGCAGTTGCAATAGAGATAGTAGGTCTTTCAAAGCCAAAAAAAAATTTATTCTCTGGCCCTTCATAGTAAGAGTTTGCCAGTCCCTGCCCTTGAGGCTGCAGAGCCACCTTGTTGGCAGAGGCCCTGGGTGAGTTCCTGGAGCAGAGACTCCCACCTTTCCTGAACTGTTATTCTGTGAGAGAAAACTAAACTTCTGTCTTGCTTGAACTTCATCGTTATAGAGTCTCTTCATTACAGCGGTTTATCTTTGCCTTATCTATACACCCCTCCAACCCTGTCAACCTCCAGGCTACATGATCCTCCAGTGCGAGAGCTGTCACTGTCTTCTCAATGCTGCCAATGTAGCACTTAGTCCGGTGTACTGAACCCATTTATTTCTGGATCTGCCTCCACAGAGATAGATTATTATGCTCCTCAAAAATAGAAACTCTGGCCAGGCATGGTGGCTCATACCTGTAAACCCAGCAATTTGGGAGGCTGGGGCAGGAGGATTGCTTGAGCCCAGGAGTTCGAGATCAGCCTGGACAACATAGCTACAACTCATCTACAAAAAAATCAAAAAAATTAGCCAGGCATGGTGGCACACACCTGTAGTCCCAGATACTCAAGAGACTGAGGTGGGAGGATCGCCTGAACCCAGGAGGTTGAGGCTGTGGTGAGCCATGATCATTCTACTGCACTCCAGCCTGGGCAACAGAGTGGGACCCTGACTCAAACAAATAAATGAAATAGAGACTGTGTGTGTTCAGTTTCATATTCCAGCACTCAGAGGAGTCCCTCTGAGACTCAGAAGTGAGGAAGCTTCCTATCTAGGCCTCAGAAACTTCAGATCACTGCCCCATATTTCTGTAGACCTCTTGTCCTTACATCAATCTTATTTTCTCCTTAGCTCCGCTGCTGAGAAATTTAGCTTACTTAAGAACTGTCACTGGCCAGGCATGGGGACTCAGGCTTATAATCCCAGACTTTGGGAGGCCAAGGTGTGAGGATTGCTTGAGGCCAGGAGTTTGAGACCAACCTGGGCAACATGGCAAGATCCGTCTCTACAAAAAAGTTTTAACAATGAGTTGGGTGTGGTAGTACTTGTCTGTAATTCCAACTACTCAGAAGGCTGAGGTGGGAGGGTCTCTTGATTGAGCCTAGGAGTTCATGGTTATAGTGAGCTATGATCATGCCACTGCTCTCCAGCCTGGGCAACAGAGTGAGATCTTATCTCTAAAAAACTCATCGATTAAGCTATTTCAAACCTTGAGTAAGTTCAGGCTTTCTTGGCATGGGTTCTAAAATGGCACCAAGACTTTATCTTTCTAGCTGGTCTCACTGTATAATTTACAGCTACCCTATATACTGCTTTTTCTTTGGCCACTCAGAATTGATATTCTCATCACATTCAAAAGTCTGGGATTCTTTCTATTTACCCACAAAGTTCCATTCTGAGGAAAATATTCAGGTCTCAATATGTCTATGGAGTGGAACTGATAAACCTACTGTGAGCCTCATGTATTTGCAGTCTACTGCTGAGTAAACCACTTCTGACAACTTGCCTTGAGTTTTCTTTGACACCTTCCCTTTTCAGCAACATAAAAGGGAGTGACTTCCCAAATCACACAAATCTTCCCAATAAGAACTTCATGCCAGATAACCGAAGGGTAGGGTTCCTCTAAGGTTTGCTTGGGGGCTCAGAATGTACATTTATATAATCTTCTAAGGAAGTTAAAGTAATGTTTTGACTTACAGCGTTTGAGACTGACTGGTATCGATCATAGCTGATAAGGACAATGTTATACACAGATGCTGTACACAAAAGATAGTCAGCCATGAGCCAAAACACACAGGTTTTCTTTCCAAAATTCCATTCGAACAGCATGTGAGGGATGTACAAAGGAATGGAGATCACACCTGCACGGGGAAAAATCACAGGTAAAAAAATAGCACACATCAATAAACACTAAGAGACATATTCTCATTGGTACACAGCACAAAAACATATCTGAATTCCCTGAAAATGATTTTCATTTAGATATTCATGGTATTTCATCAGGCAACTAAGGACTGAGTTCCTACACACTCTTTAAATGCCATTTTATAATAACTGTCACAAACATTATACAGTCAGCCTTCCTTATCTGCGAGTTCAGCATACTGAAGATAGAAAATATTTGAAAAAAAATTGTATAGGTACTGAATGTGTACTGATATTTTCTTGTCATTATTTCCTAAACAATCAAGAATAACAATTACTTAAATAGTATGTACTTTGTATTAGGTGTTATAAGTAATCTAGAGATGATTTAATGTATACGAGAGGATTTGCATAGGTTATAAGCAGAAACTATGCCATTTTCTATCATGGACTTTAGCTTTCATGGATTTCTATCTAAGAGAGGTCCTTGAACCAATCCCCCACAGACACCATTGACTGTACTGTCAATGGCTTCTTATTACTTTACAAATTAAGTACAGGCCCCAACCTGTATTTCCAGCCATGTACAGCATAAATCATCTTTACATTTTTTATGATCCAACCCAAACAGAATGGACCACTCTATTTAAAAACACATCCCACACTTTCACATCTTTTTATCTCTGCCAACATCATTCTTTCTTCCTAGAATGTCCTCCTGCCTTCTACTGAGAATTCTATTCACTTCCTTCCTTTTTTTCACTAAAGTCAAAAATGTCTTCATCTATGTCATCTTTCGTGGAACTCCCATGGCAGAAGTGAATCCTCTGCCCTCTGCATTCTCCCTCTCTTGTGCACTAATTATATTCTTTTTTATTTTTCTCTCCTGAAGATTAGGACTGTGTTGCAAATTAGTGTTCATATTCCCTACAACATCTAGAGTTGGTCGATGACTTACACTTTTAACTTTATAAATAACAGCTAATTTATATTGTACAGTTACCATATGGCAAACATGGTGTTATATGCATCTCATTTCATCTTCATAGAAACTGTGAGGTAGGAACCATGCTAACAGTTAAAGAACCTACAGCTGGAGGAGACATGATAAGACAAAGGTCCACAGTAAGTGGAGAAGACTGGATTTGAAACCAGACAATGCGATTTCAGAACCTCCGACTTTAACCACGAGTCTTCACTGAATTAACAAGCAGATAAGCTCTACCACCCTGATTCAGCCCAGCACAGAAACCGCTTAACTGTGAAAAATGACTTAACTGGGCTTCTTTTCACTTAGTTTTTAGGAGCTTTTAATTGCATTGACATTTCAGACAGGTGACACTGCTTGCTTTAAGTATAATCTTTTAAGTGGAAGCTCAGTTGAAATCTTATTTTGTTGAGTAAGTATCTTCATATTTTATCTGGTACTTGCAGGAATTTCCCTTTTTTGTTAGGTCCAACTTAGCTGATCATTAAAAATCATAGTAAAGATAAAAGAAAGGAAAAGGAGAGGAAGAAGGAAACCCTGCATTCTCCCAATACATCATATGGGACCATAATAGCATGGTTTCAGCACCAGTGAAAGGGAATGCTGAACTTAGCATTCTATACTGAGGTTCACATAAAAATACAAGAGACAAGACACCCGAGATGAAGAATTGGCTGGTCAGTTCTCATATGTAGTTCAAATAACCTATTTTATGTTTCAATTGTATTTTTAATGACAAATAAGTTTCCTTATGGCACCTTTCATCTCATCTGGGGTGTGTGTGTATATGTGTGTGTGTGTGTGTGTGTGTGTGTGTGTGTGTGTGTGTGTGTGTGTGTAAGTCTGTGGTATAAAATATGTCATCAGGTTCACCTGAGGTAAATCAAAGTTTCTCAAAAACAGAAACACGTATTGTATTTTAGCCCACAGTTGTGGCCTCCAGTGTTTCCAACTTGAGTATTTTCCACACATGCACTCATTTCTTCAAAGACACAAAAGCAACCTAGGTGCCCATCAACAGTGGACTGGATATATATACACCATGTAATCATATATGACCATAAAAAGGAAGAAAATCATGTCCTTTGCTGCAACATGGATGTAGCTGGCGGCCATTATTCTAAGCGATTAACACAGAAATAGAAAACCAAATACCACATGTTCTCACTTATAAGTGGAAAACACTGGATACACACAGACATAAAGATGAGAGAAACAGACACTGGGGCCTCATAAAGGGAGAAGGGAGGGGAGTAAAGGGTTGAAAAGTCACCCATTGGGCCGGACTCGGTGTCTCAGCCTGTAATCCCGGCACTCTGGGAGGCCAAGGTGAATGGATTGCCTGAGCCAGCGGGTTCGAGACCAGCCCGGGCATCTTGGCGAGACCTTGTCTCAACAATAAAAATCAAAAATTAGCTGGGCGTGGTAGCACACACCTGTAGTTCTGGCTACTTGGAAGGCTGAGCAGGAGGATCACCCGAGCCCAGGTGGTCAACGCTGGGGGGTGGCCGTGAGCGAGCCACTGCACTCCAGCCTGGGCAACAGAGTGAGACTCCAACTCAAAAAAAAAAAAAGAAAAGAAAAATCACCCATTGAGTACCATACCACTAGGTGACAGGTTTAACAGAAGCCCAAACCACACTCATGCAGCAAACCTGTGTGTACACCCCCTTAATTTAAAGTCAATTTTTTAAAAAGGAAGACCCGCGGGTTCCTGACCCGCCTGGGCAGCGAGACCTCATCTCTACAATAAATAAAAAAATCAACCGGGCGTGGTAGCACATGCCTGTAATTCCAGCTACTTGGAAGGCTGAGGCGGAAGGATCGCCTGAGCCCAGCAGGTCGAGGCTGCGGTAGCTGGGAGCGGCCACTGCACTCCAGTCTGGGCAACAGAGTGAGACTCCAACTCAAAAAAAAAAAAAAAAGGAAGAGTGAGATGTCAGCAATCATTTGCATGAGAGATACCATGTGCCAGGTCTTGTTGCCAGTCTAAGTCAGAGTGGAGTCTCCTGGAGCCCCGGGGCCAAGGACGCACCATACTGTGCCTCAGCCTTCACATTGGATCCTGGACAGGACACAGACCCACAGAGAGCAGGGAGATGAAGCCCTAATCCTGCCTTTGAGACCCAGCTTAGCTGGGGCAGGGGAGAGGGAGGGCACAAACTAGGGAAATGGAGTGGGCGCCCTGAACAGTCTTAACTTCTCAGAGAATCCTGTATCTCGCTGACAGACAAAGACAGCAGCAAATTGCCCTCTCACGGCCTCACAACAACTTAAGATAGTTCAACATTAAGGGGAAAAAAAGCTGTCCTATTGTTTACCTCATTCATTTTGTCAGGTATGTCTCTCATCTGAATACTTCATATATAATGAATTTTTCATTTTAATGATGTGGGGTACAATTCAGGGCTAGGTATACAAATGTTCATTATGCAGATATTCTTATTGATCTAATGAATTTCAAATGGGATCTTTCTCCTCCGCGTTTCTTTTCTTATTGTACAAATATAATTGCTATGGTCCAGGCTCTCAGTCCAAGCCAGGCTTACAGAGGAAGTTAGGATAGGTCTTAAGGGGAGTTAAGTACTTTGTGTCATACACTTTCTGAATTACATGACAGAGGAAGAGTGTATTCAAAACCTTAGCAGCTGCTTGAAATAATGGTTGCTTAAAACAGACTCTAGTCTATCCCTTTGGTATTCATAACCTCTTCAGAGCTGTCACCTTGCATTCTGTGCGACACTTCTCTACACGTGTCATGCTCAGTTTCTCTGTCTTGTTGAGTGAGAGAGAGAGAGATCTCCAGTTCATCCTAAAGGAGTTTCAAAACAGTAAATCTGAAATATTGCTCAGATATACCCACTCCGTAACATTTCTACAACCTCTGTTGTGGAATTTTGTTTCTGAGTCAAATGGACTTGATGAGTAAAACTAAGAGCCAATTTGGTATGTCTGATGAAAAAAAAAGTTAGAGAAAACAAATAAACCATATGAAAAGAAGGTGGCAGGCCAGGCTCAGTGGCTCAGCCTGTAATCTCAGCACTTTGGGAGGCCAAGGCGAGTGGATTGCCTGAGCCCACAGGTTCAAGATCCTCCTGGGCAACTTGGCAAGACCGCATCTCTACAATAAATAAAAAGTTAGCCGGATGTGGTAGCACATGCCTGTAGTTCTGGCTACTTGGAAGGTGGAAGGATCACCGGAGTCCAGCAGGCCGAGGCTGTGGTGGCCAAGAGTGGGCCAATGCACTCCAGTCTGGGCGACAGAGTGAGACTCCAACTCAAAAGAGAAGAAAAGAAAAGAAGATGGTAAAGGGGAGGGGGGAAGGAAGTGAAGAAACTGGAGGCAGAGAGGAGAAATGGGAAGGAGAGGGAGAAGAAAAGCCCTGTGAGACTGCAGCCTGCACTCGCTTCCCCAGTCTCACCTCCCACTTCTCTTCCACTCTACTCCTCTGCAGCCCCTCTAACCACGAGTACACTCACACCCTCCCACCTCAGAGCTTTGCCCTTGTGGCTCCTTGGCATGAGCTATTCTTCCTCTGAGCACTCCTGTTTTTTCAAGTGTCTTTCTCAGAGAACTTTAGCTCTAATGTTTAAAAGTGCAACCCCACCCCAGCACACTCCCTCTTCCTTCTCCCTACTGTGTTTTTCTCAGTAGCAACTATCGCCTTCTAAATGCTATATGATTTTATTTACTTATAACATAGTATCTGTCTCCTCATCCCTGCTCCTATATATAGAAGCACCATGAGAGTAGTTTTTTTTTTTTTTTTTTTTTTTTGGAGTAGGAGTCTCACTCTGTGGCCCAGGCTGAAGTGCAGTAGCATGCTCATGGCTACCGCAGCCTCCAGAGTATCTGGAAACATAGGTGTGCAACAGCATGCTTGGCTAATTTTTTTACTTTTTGTAGAGACAAGGGCTCACCAAGTTGCCCAGGCTGGTCTCAAACCCCAGGACTCAGGCAATTCTCTCACCTCCACCTCCCAAAGTGCTGGGATTACAGGCATGAGCCACAGTGCCCGGCTAGGGCAGGAATTTTCATCTTTATTTTATATCCCCAGCACCTCAGAGAGCGCTTGCTTTAAAATAAATAATTGTTGGATGAAGGAATAGATAAGGATGAGGAAGCCCAGTTTGCTTTAAAATTGCCACTCCTGGGCCATGTTTTCCTAAGCCTTGGCCCCCCCTCCCCTATCTGAGGAGGTGAATCTCCTCTCTCTCTCTCTCTCTCTTTCCAACTTACTTTCTAAATAAACTATATTTTCCAATCTATAAATAAATAAATAATAATAAAATTGCCGCTCCTCTGGTATTGTACCTTCTTTCTAAGCCAGCTAAGAAACCGTATCTTCTGTGAGAAAATGACCATCAAAGGTGGGAAGGCTAAAAGCTCCAGTAAATACTTAGGCAGTGAGTGCGTGGAGGGTATTATGGACTAAGTGTTTGTGTATCTGACCAACCCCCCGCCCCCGCACCCCAAATTCAAATGTTGGAGCCCTAACTCTCAGTGTGGCTGCATTTGGAGACCTCTAAGGATGAAATTAAGGATAAATGAGGTCAGAAGGGTGGGGCCCTGATTCAGTATAAAAAAAGAAGACATAATGAGACCAAGGTCCACTCAGCTACTAAGTGCAGAAGACTGGATCTGAAATCAGGCCATGTGATTTCAAAGCCTCTGATTCTAACCACAACTCTTCACTAAATTAACAAATAAATAAGCTCTACCGCCGTGATTCAGCCCAGCAGAGAAACTGATTAACTGTGAAAAATGACTCAACTGGGCTCTTTTTGTGAACACTCAGAGAAAACCATGTGAGGATGCAGCAAGAAGGCAGCTGTCTACATGACAGAAAGACAGCCCTCACCAGGAACCAGACTGACAGAACCTTGATCTGGGATGTCCCAAACTCCAGAACTGTGAGGAAATAAATTTCTGTTGTTGAAGTCACTCAGTCCATAGTATTTTGTTATGGCAGCCTGAGCAGATGAAGAGAGCAAGAGAAGAGTCCTAAACCGGGTCGTGAAGGTGTTAAAGATAAACTTTGCTGTCCTGAAAATTTGGTTCAGGCTTTTGCCCCTGAAGCTGTTGTCCAGCCCATCTATCACATGGTCATGTAGGTCATAAATGCCTGCACAACATGTACATGTGGAGTGTGGAATACCCATAAATGAAAACATTGGTCACATTATTTCAATGTCATATATTTAGATATAGTGTATTTTTCCCAGAATAATGTACAGATGAGATATGTTTATATATCAGTCAGTATACTTAATATTGGAATTTTTCCTCAATCTTTGCTTTCCGACAGGAAGTTCAGCCTGGGAAGCTACTCAGGTGCCACAAATACAGACTTTCAACAGAGGCCAGTTCTGAAATCTGAGAAGAGCGCATTCACCCAGAAAGTCCACAATACTGAGAGCAGAGCACGTGAGGCTCTAATCTACCCTGCCATCATCACATGGTTCTGAAACCCTGGGTCTCATGACCTCAAATATTAAGAATCGCTGGCTTGCAGTTACAGAAAACCTCTCATAAGTTCTGCCCTGCCCCCCACCAAATCTGCATTCTTCCAGGCTCAGGGCAGAAAGGCTCACTTCCCAGCATGGCAAAAGAGAAAGAACAGTGTTGGCAGAAAACACAAATCTTATTACAAAAAGTTCTTAATTATTGTGACATGGCCCATGTTGTGCTAAATAAGCAAACCCCTGGATGAAGCTGGCAGGGGCCAGGGAGATTTGAAGGATGAGACTGACAGGTTGGTGGAGACTCTGACCTGCACCTGACTCTTCTCATCAAAAGAAAAAAAAAATCAGGATTCTTTCCCCACCCACCTGCTGATGGAGGGAGATCACCAGGACCACTGAATAACTACATCGGCAGGACCATTTCTCAAAGACAGGTCACATCTCTGCATCATGGTGCTCAAGCCCTTGATGGTGGCCTTGGGCCAGACATGGGGACAGTCTTATCCAGAACCATCTTTGTTCAAAAGCCCAAGCCTCAGGCTCTCCAAGCTATTTCACACCATCCCTCCCTACCATTGGAGCAGTCAGGGCCTCATTCCCTTTGGGTTAGTCAAAACACATTATCTATTTTAAGTGCTGACTGTCATCTGAAATTGCATAATTCTGTAAAGAAGGTGGAAGAGATAAGTATATTTATAGTGAAACATTTTGTGTTCACATAAATATACTTGCGTATTTGTACATCGTTATGTGAGTATAGAGAATGATGTGGAAGGATCTACATCAAGCAGCAAACGTTGGCTACCTAGTGGCACAGAATCGAGGAGAGAAATGGGGAGAATGTTGCATTTTTAAAATAAGTCTATATTGGTTAGCCATCTTTATCTATCATTTCTATGCCATGACTCAATCTCTCCAGCTAAAGGTTTCTCTAGACTTTTTGGTGCAACATCAGAATCACAGCTGCTTTGCCCAAATGCCCCCCCACTTCTGAGAGTACCTGCCACACCTTTCTTAGTCTCAGAGGCCCAATCTTCAATTCATCTTTCTCTTTCTCCTGCCCAACCCCACCTGTGCAGCTCTACCTCCAAACCTTCCTTTCCACCCTCACCCTAGCTCAGAACCTAACTGCATGGCTTTGGCCTAGATTGCTGCAAGATCATCTCTGAAACCATGCAGCTCCCCACGCTTCCACTTCCCCACTTCCTACGGCTTTTCTGATGCCTCCAAAGTAAAGCTTAGATCCATCCAATCATCTACCTGTTTAAAAATCCTTCATTTTCCACATGGCCTGCTGAATAAATCCCTCGCTAGACTCACCCGGGTATTCAAAGCCCTTCACTGTATAGGTTCCAACTTCATCCCTACCGTTCCCCTACACCCTCCTGCAACCCAACCAGCTCCACGCTCACCCTTAGGAACACAGGCACATTGATTTTCTACCGACATATCTGTACTGATTCTTAGAATACCCTTCTCCTCCCCATCTCTGCCTATGGAAACGCTATCCATCCTTCAAAGTTCATTTCAAATGCCACTATCGCTAACTAAATGTGTTTCATATCTCCTCTGAAGCACATAGCACTTGGTAAGTCATTGTGGAGGGGTCTCACATTATACTGCTGTAGTCATTTGAGAATGTCTCTTATTTACTTTACTTCATTGACACCTTACTGAAGAAAGTCTGACCTACTCTTCCATAGAGCTCCTGATTACCTCATAGTACTCTCACATGGTAGATACTATATCCATATTTAATTAACATGTTATTAACTAACATAGATTATCATGACCTCGGTTTGGGTCGGCACATATCTGCAGAGAAATCAAAGCAGAAGAGGGCTACCATTGGTTGAGCAACCACTGTGTTCCAGGCAATAAACTAAGTCTATGTGTTTTGTTTCATTTTAACATAAATGCAAGTTTTACATAGCTATAAACAAAAATAACCTGAATCTGCTAGAGTAAATTATACTTGAAGCTGCTAAAAAACAATATCATCAGCTGACATTTCTGTACATGTACTTACTACTACCATATGCATTGTTTAAAAATGATAACCAATGTTACAGCTCTCTTAGAATTTGTCTGGCAGGTTTACTACCAGTTTTCCCTGGAAAGTCCCTCACACCAAAATAAATAAAAGATAACCATCAGACAGTGAAAAATTTCAAAGCACATGTTTTTAAAGATTGATTTGATTTCTGTGCTCTCTTACAATTATATAATGCTATGATACCATATTACATGCAAGGTAGTTTAGTGTTGGATATATTTTACAATATTCTATGCTGTATTATAGACTAATTATATTATCCACACTATTTAATTGTCCTGAATATCCTATTTTCTGATTGTGCTGGTTGTTAGCATATACATTATTTCCTATTACTCCAACACTACAATGCTAAAGAAACTATGTTTACTTAAAGAGGAATACTTTTACTTATAAGTCTAAACATACAAGGAAAATAGCTCCAGAAACAAACCTCTTATGTTGAGACAATTTTAGAGTTATTCTGGACTTATTTTTATCTCAAAAAGAAAATACACTATTTTCAGATTGAAATTCCTCACCAACACTGATTTACATATGCATAACATTCCCTTAAAGTGCCACATAGCCAACCTCCTCCAAACATTAACACAAACTTTTATTTTTAATTTCCCCCAATCTCAAACAGTCCCCTGAAATAACAAATGCTTACTTTAAGATTTTAGAGATAAATTATAATTGAAAAAAATTATCTTAAATAAAGACATGTAACTTACCCACAAAGAAGTCAGAAATGGCCAAGTTAAGAAAAAAATAACTACTTCGATGTCTAAGATTTTTGTCCACCATGAAAGCTAAAATGACCACGGCATTTCCTAGTATTATAGCAAAAGCTAGTAAGGACATAAAAAACGCTAAAGTGATACTAGTATTCAGTGGGCTAATTGTGCTATTAGTCTCTGACATTATATCAAATGATGAAGAAGCTGATGAGCAAACTAATCCGGCCAGACAATTCTGACAAATACGTTTTCCAATCAAATACCTAAACCTTTATAGTGCTCCTACTCAAAACAACTTTTTTAGTCGAATGCTGATCTCATAGTACTTCCTGCTTTTTGATAAAGTAAGCTTGTGGTAACAGTTTCCCTTAACTGACACTGAAAAAGTATTTCCAAAAAACAGTGAGATGTTTTCTCTTGAACATTTCATTGTGACCCATCCCTCTCCCATTAATAGAGCAATATTATATAATATCTACAAAACATAATTGATACATTATATATGTAATAAATCGGGCTCAAATGAGGTTCATGTTAAAACTCATATAGATGCAGGCCAGGCAAAGTGGCTCACATCTGTAATCCTAGCACTTTGAAGGAGAGGCAGGAGGAACACTTGAGGTCAGGAGTTGGAGATCGGCCTGGACAACATACCAAGACCTCACTTCTACGAAAAAAGATTTAAAGATTAGCCGAGCCTGGTGGCATGTGCCTGTAGTCCTAACAACTCAGGAGGATGAGGTGGGAGGATGGTCTGAATCCAAGAGTTTAAGGTTCCAGTGAGCTACGATCATGCCGCTGCCCTTCAGCCTGATGACAAGACCCTGTATCAAGAAAAAACTAAACCTCTTACAGATCCAGTTAAATATTCTCCTCTGGCCATAATAGGGCAAAAGGGGCTGAATTTCACTGTCCCGTCTGAAATAACCAAAAAACTGGAAAATGGGTTTCAAGTGATTGGAATAAATGATGGTGATCCCTGAGGAAAGAGGAGAGTCCTTCAGTTGCCCTAGCTTACTATCTTGAGAGCATTTTCAGGGCATAGGTAGGAAGGAAAATCTCTGTAGAGCCCAGCAAATTCCCTGGGATGTGGAGATAGAACTGAGAGTTAGGAGTACCAGAGAAGACTCTGAACTGCAGAACTGCACTAAGAGACAACCTCCCTCAGGTATTCACCAGAATACAGCACAGCGTGGAGGAAAGGTTTTTAGGCAAGGAAAAGAACCACTCAAAAAGATTAAAGGGAAAAGTAACCAGTAGTCACACAAGGTTGGTTATAGTGCCTGCTCCCAGGAACCAAATGGAAAAAGCTCATTCTTCATGGGGCATTAGGGTAGTATACTCAGAAGGGTCTTGTCTCAGTAGTCAGGAATAGTTAGCCCTATGCTAAATATTTCTTGGGTCCTGATTAGAAAGTCTTAAAAACAAGACCTGAAAGGATCAAACTGTTTTCAAGTAACTTAATTTCAACTCTGAACACAGTTCAAGAATATGTATAGATTTTAACAATATCCAGTCCTCAAAAAGATGTCTTACAATGTCTTAAATCCAATTAAAAATTATCAGACATTCAAAGAAGCAGGCAAATATGACTCATAATAAGGAGAAAATCAATCAATTGAAACCAACCCAGAATTGACACAAATATTAGAATTATCAGACAAAACATAAAAACAGTTATATGAGCCGGGCTCGGTGGCTCAGCCCGTAATCCTGTGCTTTGGGAGGCTGAGGTGAGTGGACTGCCTGAGCTCGTGGGTTCGAGACCCGCCTGGGCAACTTGGCGAGACCTCATCTCTACAATACATCAAAAAATTAGCCGAGCGTAGTAGCGCGCGCCTGTAGTTCCAGCTACTCGGAAGGCTGAGGTGGAAGGATCGCCGGAGCCCAGCAGGTCGAGGCTGTGGTAGCTGGGAGAGGCCACTGCACTCCAGTCTGGGTGACAGAGTGAGACTCCAACTAAAAAAAAAACCAAAAACAGTTATATGGAATATGAAAACAGGAACATGGAATATAGCTGTACTCCATATTTTCAGAAAGGTGAGTAAAGATATAGAAGATGTTTTAAAAGACCCAAACCAAACATCAAGAAATAAAAACTATGGCTCAGCCTGTAATCCCAGCACTTTGGGAGAACGAGGAGAGTAGATTGCCTGAGCCCACAGATTCAAGACCACCCCAAGCAATTTGGCGAGACCTTATCTCTACAATAAATCAAAAATTAGCCAGGCATGGTAGCGTACACCTGTAGTTCCAGCTACCTGAAAGACTGAGGTTGAAGGATCGCCTGAAGCCAGCAGGTCGACACTGGGGTGGCCGTGAGCGTGCCACTGCACTCCAGCCTGGACAATGGAGTGAAACTCTTGACTCAAAAAATTAATTAATTAATTAATTAAAACTAGAATGTCTGAACTAAAAACACATTGGAAAAGATTAATGGCAGATCAGAGATTACAGAATATTAGATTAGAGAACTTGAACACACAGTGATATAAACTACCCACAATGAAACACAGAAATAAAAGAGAATTTTAAAAACTAACAGAGCATCACTAAGCTAGAGACAACTTCAAGTGACCTAATATATGTCTAATAAGAGTCCCAGAAAGAAAGGAGAGAGGATGAAACAAAAAACAATCTGAAGAATTAATGGTCAAAAGCTTTCAAAAGTTGATAAAAACTGTAAACCAAGAAGCTCAATGAACCCCAAACACAAGAAATATAAAGAAAACTACACAAGGCACATAAAATAAAATTGCTCACAGTGTTAAAAAGCAGACTCTTAAGAGCTACAAAGGGGAAGAGGGGAAACATAATAAATAAAATAAGAAAGATAGCCGGGCCCAGTGACTCAGCCTGTAATCCCGCGTTTTGGGAGGCTGAGGTGAGTGAGTTGCCTGAGCCCGTGGGTTCGAGACCCACCTGGGCAACTTGGTGAGACCTCATCTCTACAATAAATCAAAAATTAGCCGGGCGTGGTAGCACGCGCCTGTAGTTCCAGCTACTTGGAAGGCTAAGGAGGAAGGATCGCCAGAGCCCAGCAGGTCGAGGCTGTGGTGGCCGGGAGCGGCCACTGCACTCCAGTCTGGGTGACAGAGTGAGACTCCAACTCAGAAAAAAAAAAAAAGAAAGAAAGATATGGGTGTCAGTACATTTCTCATCAGAAGCAAAACAAGCGAGAGGATACTGGTTGCAACATCTTCCAAGTGCTGAAAGGGAAAAAAAAAACTGTCAACCTAAAATTCTATATTTAGTAAAAATATCCAAACAAAAACAAAGGCAAAATAAAGACTTTTTCAGATATATTAAAGCTGAAATAATTCATCACTAGCAAACTTGTAGTACAAAAATGAAGGAAGGAAGTTATTCAAGCAGAAGGAAAATGATGCCAAATGGAAATATGAATCTATGCAAATGCACGATAAGAAACAGAAATGAAGGCTTTCTTGCAAACCCTTTTAAAAGGATGTAATTTGCTAGAGGGCAAAGACTGTATTTTGTTTCATTCTGTTTTATTACTTTTTGTTTAAGTATGATATACACACAAAAAAGTGTATGAATCATAAATGTACAGTTGATAAATTTTTACAAACTGAATATACCCGTGTAACCACCACCCATATGAAGAAACATCGCAAAAGTTTTCTTTTCCAGTTACTCAACCTTCATGGGTAAGCACTATCTGGACATCTAAAACAAAGTTAATTTTGCCCATTTTGGTATTTTATAAATGAAATTGTACATTCAAAAATTACAATATTTTCTTTTTCAACAGTGGATCTGGTAGTCCTTATAACCAGGGTTACCATTAAGAACCCCAAATCTGAGCTGGGCTCGGTGGCTCAGCCTGTAATCCCACGCCTTTGGGAGGCTGAGGTGAGTGGATTGCCTGAGCCCGCGGGTTCACGACCCGCCTGGGCAGGCAAGACCTCATCTCTACAATAAATCAAAAAATTAGCCAGGCGTGGTAGCGCGCGCCTGTAGTTCCAGCTACTTGGAAGGCTGAGGCGGAAGGATCGCCGGAGACCAGCAGATAGAGACTGCGGTGGCCGGGAGCAGCCACTGCACTCCAGTCTGGGCGATAGAGTGAGACTCCAACTCAAAAAAAAAAAAAAAATAGAACCCCAAATCTGGTAATATTCAAGAATATATTAATTTGACCTAAATGCAAAAAGTCCAGAGAGATTGATGGGATAGATGCTCTCTGTTCCCAGTACTTCGCCAAATTGGGGCTGACTATGCAAATACTTTATTGCCTCATGTAAAGGATAGTTTCATTTCTCTATATTCATCCAATCTCAGCTCCTACTTTGAGAATGAACCAAGGGAGAAACCCTGGAATAGTCCATCTTGCCACCAGCAATATGGGCTAGACCAGTGACTCAACCAGAGGAACCTAATTTAGAGAGAAAGGTTTGGATTTAAATTAATAATAGGCCAGGCACAGTGGCTTGTGCCTGTAATTCCAGCACTTTGGGAGGCTGAGGTGAGAGGATTGCTTGAGTTCAGGAATTTGAGGCTGCAGTGAGCTATGCTTGTACCACCGTGCTCCAGCCTGGGCAACAGAGCAAGACCTTGTCTCCAAATAAATAAATAAACTGACAAAATAAAATTAATAATAAGTGTGAGAAAGATGAAATTGTTACCAAGGGCAGGTGGCTAAAAAACAGGTATTACAAAAGGGAAAATCAAACATAATTTTGACTCCTTAAGAGAATCTTAGAGCAAAAGCACAACATCCACTTTTAACTTTGACATAGATGCCCTTTGCCCTGTTTCCTGAAATCTCCTCTTTTAACTCTTTTAAAGAACCAAGAAGTAAGTGGTATACTACCAACTCAATGAATATATAGATGTGTGTGTATACACACACACACACACACACACACACACACTGAGAGTAGTCTGTGTCCTCCAGATGAGTGAATGGATGGACGCTTTGACTATGACTATCTGGAACAATACTAATGTGGCTATATCTTTTGGTTCCTATGTCATAGGTTAGAGCTATTACTGAAGACTCCAACTGGAAAGCAAACTATGGAATCCAGTTGAATCTGGAGTTGAATCTGGGTTAAGATTAATCACTAATTTGTGGCCAATAATAGTGATGATGATGGTTTAAGGAAGGTACTGGGATATGATGGCAGAAGTTCAACTTTGCATGTCCCATCTGTCAAAATATCATGTGTAAAAATAGCTCTGGTCAGGTTCTGTGGCTCAGCCTGTAATTCCAGTACTTTGAGAGGCTAAAGCGAGTGGATTGCCTGAGCCCACGGGTTC